GCGCCTGGCGTCGTCGTCGGTCGTCGGTCGTCGGTCGTCGTTGTGGTCGTTGTCGTCGTCGTCATCGTCGTCGTCGGCGTCGGCGTCGTCGTCGTCGTCGTCGTCGGCGTCGGCGTCGTCGGTGTCGGCGTCGTCGTCCGCGTCGGCGTCGGCGTCCGCGTCGGCGTCGGCGTCCGCGTCGGCGTCGGCGTCGGCGTCGGCGTCATCATCGTCGCCGTCGGTCGACGAACCGACGGGTCGGCGAGTCGACTCGGGAACACCTCCAACGGTGTCAGGAGGATCGGTATAGTGACGGAAACAATGATGACGAACACCGGCACTTTTTCCTGCCCATTTTGAGCAAGAGTCCCGGCCGGTATCGCCGCGGGCGTCCTCCGTTTGTGGTGCAAAGCGCCTACCCAACAGCGGTCGCTGTCGGTTTCGGGAAACATCTGCTGTTTGGCCACCCTCCCCGTTTTGGCAGCCCCCACCTCGGCCGTCCCCACACTGGGGAGGAGGAGAGAGCACAACGTGCCCCACCGAGGGCGCCCATCGGGGGGCACGGATGCCTCGACGCTGGAGGGGGCCCCGACCCCACCCAGATAGCTGAAAACTTCCCATGGCCGCCGAGATCCTCCTCCTCCTCCTCCTCCTCCTCCTCCTCCTTCTCCTCCTCCCCCTCCTCCTCCCACTCCTCGGTTCGGACGGAAAGGGGGGGGTCAGGGAACGAGAGGGGAGGTACGAAAGCTGCTGGGTGCGGCTGGTTTCGGCCCCCCCGCTGGGCGCTTTCTCCGACACGCTGGCGTCTCCCAGCGCCAGGAGGCGCCCGAACGATCCGCTGCGCGGGCTGATTCGCCAAGCCCACCCCCTTTGCTGCCCCCCCCTGTTCGCTTGACTCGGGGGTGGACAGAACCCCCAATAGTGACACGTCGATTATGGAACTGTCCGTTTTCGGTTCTCGAGAGGGGGCCGTGGCCGTTATTTCCAGTCTTGCGCCCGCCAGGTTTGGGCCTCAGGTCGTTTTCACTAAACCACGTTTTACTAAAGGGGGGTCTGTCCATCCCCGACCGACCTCCGCCGAGAGCCTCCGACGGCGAAAGTGTGGTTGGTGCGCAGAGGGACGGGGAAACGGCAGGCCCGCGCGCCAGCAGTGCCGCGCTGGCAGCTTCGTGTCGGCGGGGCGGGAGCGCCTGCTGCTGTGAGTCTGCGCTGAACTGGCCTGCCCCGTCATCGCCCACCTGCTGCTGCCCTCTTCGGTGGCTGCCCCCACAGATGGCTTCTTTCAAGCATTCCTGCCGGGGTTGCCGGGCAGCCTGCCTGGCCGCACAATTCTGTTCAGCTCGAGTCTGGGAGGGGTTCGGGTCAGGGGGGGGCGGGATATCGGGATGCTTCCGGCGCCCCGATTTGCCGCGCAGCGTCGGGGCTTGGCTGCGGCTGCGTGATCGGATTCCTCCTCGCGCGAGTCGGAGGGCGGAGAAGGAGGGGGGTCGCGCAATATGATTGATTTATAGGTGAAGGGGCGGGGAGGTGGAACGCAGAGGGCACGAAAGGGGGCGCGGGGGGGAACAGACCCTTACGCTCTTTTATCTTTCTCTCTTGTCTACCGTTTTGCCTTTCTCGCGACCCCTCGGATCCCGCGCGCGCGTGGCCATCCAGCGCGCCGGCGTTTCTTCCCCCAACCATCCTGTGGTGTTGGGTTCTCGTTCTGACGAGACAGCGCCCCGCGTTCCTCCCCCCTCTCCTCGTCCTCGCCCGTCCTCCCATCCTCCTCCTCCTCCTCCCCATCCTCCTCCTCCTCCTCCTCCTCCTCCTCCTCCTCCTCCTCCTCCTCCTCCTCCTCCTCCTGCTCCTCCTCCTCCTCCTCCTCCTCCTCCTCCTCCTCCTCCTCCTCCTCCTCCTCGCCCTCGCCCGTCCTCCCCTATCCTCCCGTCCCCGCCTCTGCCCTCCGCGCCCGGCGCAGCGCTTCGTGGCCCGATAGGCCGCTCCACCAGAGGGCCCCCAGTGGCCGTGATCGCAGGCGGCCGCGCCCGAGAATACCGCGCCTCGCGGCCCCACAGGGAGCTCCACCGAAGGCCCCCGTGGCTGTGATCACATGCGTCCGCGCCCGAAAATACGGCGCTTCGTGACCCCTTAGGGGGGCCCCACCGAAGGCCCCCGTGGCTGTGATCACATGCGTCCGCGCCCGAAAATACGGCGCTTCGTGACCCCATAAGGGGGCCCCACCGAAGGCCCCGGTGACTGTGATCGCATGCGTCGGCGCCCGAAAATAAAGCGTGTCGTGGCCCCATAGGGAGCTCCTCCGGCAGCCCCTGTGGCTGTGATCACATGCGCTTCGTGGCCCATACGGAGCTCGACCGAAGGCCCCATACGGATCGCGTCGTGGCCCTGTACGGAGCTCCACGGAAGGCCTCCGTGGCTGTGATCACATGCGTCCGCACCACCCAGTGCAGCGCTTCGTGGCCCCATAGGGAGCTCCACCGAAGGCCCCAGTGGCTGTGATCGCATGTGTCCGCGCCACCCAGCACAACACTTCGTGGCCCCATAGGGTGTCCCACCGAAGGCCCCACTGGCAGTGATCATATGCGTCCGCGCCACCCAGTACAGCGTTTCGTGGCCCCATAGGGAGCTCCACCGAAGGCCCCAGTTGCTGTGATCGCATGCGTCCGCGCCACCCAGCACAACACTTCGTGGCCCCATAGGGTGTCCCACCGAAGGCCCCAGTTGCTGTGATCGCATGCGTCCGCGCCACCCGGCACAACACTTCGTGGCCCCATAGGGTGTCCCACCGAAGGCCCCACTTGCTGTACATGCGTCCGCGCCACCCATTAAAGCGTTTCGTGGCCCCATAGGGAGCTCCACCGAAAGCCCAGTGGCTGTGACCACATGCGGTTCGGCACACCCCTCACGCGTTCCGTGGCTCCATACGGAGCTCCACCGAAGGTCCCGCGACGTTCGCACGCGTCTCCCCCCGCCCATGTCGGCATACCCCTCACGCGCTTCGTGGCCCCACAAAGAGCTCCACCGAAGGCCCCAGTGGCGACGTTCGCATGGCGGCCCCGCTCCATTTCGGCACACTCCCCACACTTTCCGTGGCCCCACCTGGAGCGCCACCGAAGGCTCCAATGGCCACGCCCGCATGTGTCTGCCCCATTTCGGCACACCACGCTTCGCCCTGTAAGGAGATCCACCGAAGGCGATACCCACAACGGCGATATTCAGAATTGCACATGGTTGGGCCCTTCGCTGGGATATTTTTATGTTTGAAAAGTTTCTTGGACCATCCGAGAGATCCCTAGAGCTTCATGAGAGGCGTCGTGGGCCTTCGGAGAGCTCCCCCCTGGGCCTCCCGAGAGATTTCCTGGGCTTGTTGAGAGAGGCTCGGCTTCCGGCGAGGGCTGCCTGGCTTCCCGAGAAGCCTTTTTGGCTTTCCGAAGAGGTCCCTGGGGTTCCCGAGGGCCCCCACAGGTGTCTTGGGCCTCCTCAGGGGGTTCCTCTGCTTCCTGAGAGGTTCAGGGCCTCCTGGGAGGTGTCTCCCGCCCCGAAGAGATGATTGGGCTTTCCGAGAGTGCCTCTTGGGCGTCTTCAGAAGGCCTCTGGACCTGCTGACGGGGCCCCTGGGCCTCCTGAGCAGCTTCGCGGGTCTCCAGTCATGCCTCTCAGGCCTCGGGGAAGGTCTCCGGGGGGCTTCAGAGAGACTCCTGCGAGGCTTTCGGGCCAGGCGAGTGCAATACAATCATACATGGTTTCATTTCCGCCCATCTATTGTTGGGTCGGGTTCCACTTTTGCCCTCCATTCACGAAAATATGGCCCCGTACCCCACGATACAAGGTGCGCTTCTGGTACTTATGGTTATGCAGGTTTTTGTTGTCAGGAGTCTCAGGTGGGTTTCCCGAAGGCCCCCTGTGGGCCCCTCCAAGAGTTGCTTGGGCCTCCTGGGATCCCCTGAGGGATAACCTTGGGAACTCCTGGCTTGCATCCAGGGCTTCCTTGAAAGCCCCCCGAGGGCCCTCGGGCTTCCTGCAAAGGCTTTCGGACATCCTGGCAGATCTCTTGGACCTCCCGAGGGGCGACTTGCGCCTCCTGAGAGGCTTCGCCCTCCCCCGAATGTGGTTTCTGGGTGACGTTTTCGGCATCCTGGGAGGATCCAGGGAATTCTAGATTGCTCCGGCGGCCATGTCGGGCCATGTGGGGTTGTGCTGGGATCCGAGAGGCAAATTGTCAGGGCACGAACGCGATAGTCACGCATTGATCATTGGCTTCCTGGGGAGAAGCCCAGGGGCCATCTCGCAGGCAACCCAGGGCTTCTCGGGCCCATGCTGCATTCCGTCACCATTGGTCATCTTGCGCAGCGTCGGCAATGATATTGGGATCACCTGGGGCCGCGTTGAACCCCGTGGCGACCAGGTATTCTAGGACGGATAGCAGAAACATTGCGTGCATCAGAGCGTGAATGACCTACCCCGCTTTCGCTTCCAGGCAAAACCAAGTCATACCACGCGCCTCCTCGTCAAGCGGCCTGACCAGTACTGGCCGTAGTTTGGCATTGCTTGGTATCTCTTGGAAGCGAGGGTGGTCAAAAGCGGGGTAGGCTTGTTTGCCCCCTATTGTAGCCGTGGCGCCACCAATGACCACCGCGTCAGCGGGGCCGGGCCGCGCACAGGCGAAACCCCCATGTCGCAGGCCTCGAGATTGACACCAACACCAATATCGGCGGCGTGCCTCCACCGAGGGATGAGGATTCCGGTCTCGGTGATGGTGGTAATATTTTGGCTCCCGAGGTGACCGAAATATTACCACCAACACCGAAATCTAGGATCATCTTCCCCCTGTGGAGGCAACCCCCTGTGTTGGTGTTGGTGCCAATTTCCAGGCCTCCAACCATGAGTTCACGCGGCAGCCATCGTTGAAGGCTTTGTGAAGTCGGTTGCGATGGGTCTGTTGGTTTGGCCAGCGGCGACTGTGCGAGCTTTGCCAGCGCCTCTTTGCATCTGGTCGCTGGCGTTGGCGGCAGTGCTGCTGG